AGCAAACACCTTGAGACAGTCTGTTCCCAGTCAAAGAATGCATGAATGAAGGAATAAACAAATGAATGAATACAGGAATGAGGAGGCGGAGGCACCCTGCCCAGAATGTGAGTCGCCATTGGACAACCCACCTGTCTACAGTTCAGTTCTGACAGCGTGGGACTGAAAGGGTTCTCGTCCCTCTGCTGCCTGGAGAACAATGACTGTGGACTTCCACGGGCTAGCCTTTTTTGCTTTGTCCTTTACCTCTGAGTGAAAAAGCTGTGGTGCCTGTGTCGGTCCCTCTGCTAGTCTCTAAATCCTCCACCTGCCTGCCTGGTTACACACACGCCACCTCGCTCTTCAGCCGCCATGCCAAGATTTAACGCCGTGAGTAGCTGTAGGTTTGTTCTCACTCTTCCTGAGTTACTGGATAGAAATGCACACTGTTTTGAAATGAGGAGGTTAAAGATCAAAAGCGCGACTGCCCCTGCAGAGTTTAAATGTCAGAAAAACACGAACATGCTAGAAACCTTTCCTGGCCTTTGTGATTCTGCCCTTTCAGGCGGTCCCCCGTTCCTAAGTCCCATTCTCTGAATCTGCTCTGCTGGAGACTGGCTGGCTATAAAAAGCTTCTTCGCCCTAGGACCAAGTACCAGGCGCCTCCAGGGGCCCACAGTAAATGACGGAGCCTGTTAGCAGCCGCGGACCCACAGCAAGCTGTCTCCGGCCTCCGCCACTTCCCACACTTGGGTAAGGGGTCTAATTGGAAGAGAGAAGAGGGCTCACATCGACACACAAAAGGAAGACCGCATTCTGCTGTCTGTGGCGGGATCTGCCGCAGAAGCGCGGGTGCCCTGGCTTAACCCAAGGGGTGAGGCGAGGCCTGAAAAGGATCTGGCGGGGGCTTCCATTCTCCTCGCTCCTGACATTATTTTCTAGCACAAAAAGGGTGAGTGTCAGCTTGGGTTGGCTCTGCAGGGCAGTCCTCCCACCTCGCACCTCCTCCCCTGTCACAGCGAGGGGAAAGACCTTGGAGGGTTTCTGCCTTCCCGGCAGGCCCTTGCCAGTGGCAGCCATTGCTGCTCCTCATGGGCAGGAAAATACATCCACTACGGTGATCGCAACCACATAACAAGTGCCAGGGCAGGGGAGTCCTCGGGGTTCCACACCAGAACAAAGCAGGGGGAGAATTCCTCCATCGATGCCATGTAAGCTGCCGGGTGCCACGAACTCCCATCTCAGTGAGGGGCACAGGTATGGAACCTTCCAACGCAGTCAGGACATCGAGGGGCCATCTGCAGCCTGGGACCTCCTCTCACTGATGACAAAGGGACCCCCTTTACCATGGCCGCTTCTCTCCCAGGGCACTTGATTCTATTGTCCAGAATGAGCCGATAACTAACCACCCTGGCCAGTCGACTGGGACGGGTACGAGCAGGTAGAGGAGGGTGGGAGGAGACATTTGCCACAGTGCTCCCAAACAGCCTCTGTCTGGGAAACGCTACGAGCAACATCAGTAGGATACCCCAAAATTAAGTGTGTGGATGGGAAGAAAATAGAATTCTGAGAACTCGCTGATCCTACAAAGTAGAGTTTGGAAATGTTGCCACCTAATCCTTCTCCTTTGGTGGTTTGGGTTTGAAATGCTGAACGTCACCCCACAAACTTCAGAATCTGCAATGAACAGAGTGACCCAGCTCTGAGTGTCATGTAGTCCCAGCCCGAGATAAACATGATGAAATCAGCACAGCACAGTCACTGACTCTGGGTGCCTGCCACACATTCTCTGTGCCCTCTGCCACCACCCCCACAGCACAGTGAGGTGAAAACAGACTTTTTCCCCCCCAGACTTTAAAAAATAAGATTCTAAACCCATTTCACGTGACAGTGATTAGTTGAAAGCTTTATTGATAACAGATTAAGCTTAATTCTGCACTACATGATTTTCCAATATATTTCTTCATTTGACAGCAAGTAGACAGTGTTTTTTAAGTAGAGAAGAGAGAGGACTCTCTAATCGAATTCTCACCTGCCCCTGAAAGGAAAGGACTTCACGGTTATCTGCCTTTAGTTCTAATCAGAAAGCACCATCACCCCTCCAATTGTGGCTCTTTGATCTAGTACAGGTCAATATCAGAGGTCAAGTCCATTTAGTTAAAAATAGGTGAAGATAGAGATGATAAAGGTATCGCAGAAATGTTCTGCACAAATACAGATGAGACGCCACTCACCAGCTGAGATAACATTCCCATCCCTTAGAATTCATCCATTTTTACTGAGTGAAATGTGTTCCATAAACTATAAGGAAGGAATTGGCAGGTACTCCTAAATCTCTCCAACAAGACTAATATCAAATTTTAAACACGGCTTCAGCATGTGTTTGTAATTTTAAGCAAATACAAAGAATGCTTGGCAGGTTATTTTCAGGGGAGGTAGAATAAAAATATAGCATTGTCTCTCCAAATCTATGCTTTGCCAAATCTGTGGTTCACACATTTTACAACTTCCTAATAAACTTTTCCACTTGCATTAAAAAATACTTAATACTACAAGAACATGGAAAAAAAAAAAAAAAAAAGACATGCAAAGGTAAGCATGTGCAAGCCCCTCCCTCATAGAGGGCATTGCGATGGAAATGGGGCCATTGTTGAGTACCGGGTTATGCGCTGGTCCTCACGAAGGCATCCTCGGTCTTTTGTGGAGCCAGAAGAAGGCAACTCACCGCAAACCACACAGGACACTAAGATAAGACCCAGGTTAAGGAAGAAACACCAAGTGTTTTAATGTTCCTCACTGTTAAAGTCAATGAGCGGTATTTTTCTCCTTAGAATGTTTTTCAACCAGTCGCTGGGGGAAAAAGTTACAAGAACAGTCAGCATAGAAAATGCTGGCATTGAAGGCTGAGACTTTATGCAACACAAGTAAATATCTCAGGTATGGGAACTCAGATAAGAACCTTGCTCCCTGCACCAAAGCCTGTTCACACGTACATCCTCCTTTCCTTCAGTCTCCAGGGCTGGGGAGGCAACTTTCCCCACCACATCTCTAGTAGGATCCCTGGGGGCAAAGGAGGCTTGGAAGGTCAAGCTTTGATTTTATTTGTTAAATGAACTTTGTTGTTTTGGAACAGTTTTAGACTTACAGGAAAGTCATAACAGTTTCCATATTCCCTAATCAGATCCCCAGTGGTATATCTTCCATGACCATGGGACATTTGTCATAACTAAAAAGCCAACACTGGTTACTCACTACTAACTCAGTTCCTGCCTCTATGTGGATTTCACTAGTTTTTCCATTAATACTCTCCCTTGGAGTGAGGATGCAATCCACAGTAGCACACTGCATTTAGGTGCGATCAAATCATGAATTTCGAATACTTACAGAGGCTCCCCAAGTGTGTGATTTCCAGCCTCAGATGACCCCTCATCCTAGCACCTACCCCTTGCTTACCCCTTGCTTACCAAGAGCTGATGTCAACACAGTAGAGGGTGTCCATTTTGCCCCTTTGATACAACAGCCCCATGCTCACTGCCTAATGGGTACCAGATCTCCTTTTGGGGTGATGAAATGTTTTGGAACTAGATGGAGATAGTGATTGTACAACAATGTGAATGCACTAAAAGTCAAGCAATTGTTCACTTTAGAATGGTTCACTTTATGTTATATGAAATTCACCTCAATTAAAAGACCCATGCTTCTTGACACCCCTTGGACACAACTATTACTGGACGTGGAATAACTGGGGCCAAGTGTTCAAGGTCATGTTCCTTCTTCAGAGGATTCTCACTGACTGAGACCAGAATTCAGGTTGTGTGTGTCCTGTCCTGGAGGTTCCCCTCTGCTTCCCCTTGCCCGGCTGGGGCCCTGCTTTCCCCTCTACCTCATCCCCTCCCTACTCTACCTCATCCCCTCCCTACCCATGGCATACTCCATCACAGTGATTCCATCACTTTCTAGAATGTGCCAAGCCTCCCTCAGCACAGGGCTTCTGGGCTGCTGCTTCCCTTTGCCTTGGAATTCCTTCTGCAGCTTTTCACATGGCTCCTCCTCTCCCCCTATAAACGCCTCTCTGACGATCCTAATGGAAGGAGGCCCCTCTTGTTCTTGGTCACAGCCCCTTGTTAACCACCTGGCACCAACCTATTTCTTAGGCTTCCCTGACTGTCCAATTTTCCCTGTGTCTCAAGGACCCAGCACAGCACCTGGCACATAGTACCGGGGTCCAGTAAAGAACTGTTTTCACTTGATGAGGGAATGAATGCAACAACAGCCACCTCCCGCTTCTGTGCCCTACAGGACAAGAGCCAAAACAGATGACGAACGAGACCAGAAGACACTGTCTGTTGCCCTGCGGGGAGCTGGCCTAGAGTGTTGGGGAGGTGTGAGGGGATCATCACAGCCACAGGGACTGAGCTGGTCCAGCGAAGGACCACTGGGAGCTGGGGAAATGGGCTTTCTCTAGTCACTTTTCACTGGTCCTACCATTTCTCATCACAGTTTTTCATAAGGAAGACCGATATCTGACAAAGACATAGCATCACCAGAGAGGGTGGGGTGGGGTGAGGACAGGGCTGGTCCGCCTCCCTCAGCCCATTCCTAAGGCACCTGCGTAGACCTCTAGGGCTCTGAGAAACTGAGTTTCAAAATTGTGCTTGGAACAACTCAAAGCCTCTGACTTTTTACAGACAGTGAAATCCACCCTTTGTAGAAATCTAGTTTTGGTAAAAATGTGCAGTTGCAGGATCACTACCACAATGGAGGCACAGAGTATTCCCATCACCCCAACAAGTTCCCTTGTGCCTCTTTGGGGTCAACCCCCTGCTCCCACCCCTAGGCAGTCACCAGGGTTTTGTTTTTCCAGAATGTCATATAAATGGAATCAGACAGTGAGCAGCCTTTCATGTCTGGCTTTTTTTTTTCCACTTTTTAAAAAGTCTCTGATTTGAGACCAATGTTCATACCTCAAAGCATTCATGTTTCCTAATGCCTCTTGAGTCAGAAGCGAAAATAAAACTTACCTTCTGGAATACTTGATAGTTGGATTTGGACCATATATCAAGCTATGGGAAAAGAGATGAAAATCAGCATCAATGTTAGGATTCTGGACTTCAAGAAATGATATTGTAACTACTGCTATCCCTACTAACCTTGAAAAAAAAATCACATTATAGAGTAATAGGATGTTGGTGTTCAAACGGATCTTAAATGTCCTAAATTTCTTCTTTATCCATCTGTAGGTGATTTAAGAAAACAAAACGACGGAACACAGGGAAGTCAACTAAAGGCACTTACTGCTTCTGACTCACCTTGACTTCTGCCAGAGTTCTCTCGCACCACACGAAGTGCCGAGGTCAGTCCTGCCTTAGGACTTTGCACTTGCTGTGCTCTCTGCCTGGACGGTTTTCCCCACAAACTCTCACATGGCTCTTTTTATACTTCCTTTAGCTCAAACGTCACCTTATCAGAAAAGCTTTTCCCAGTTGCCTTATCAAAATATTCTTCCCAAGACCTATTACCTTGATTCTTCTTACCCTTTCAAAATGTAAAGTTCTCATAAAACACTCAAAACTGCCCTAAGCATGATTACTTCTCTGTTTACTTGCCCGCAGGAATGTAAGCTCAGTGAGGACCGGAGGCTTGTCTTCCTTTCCAGGTCCCCAAATGGGACCTAACATGTCATAGGCATCAGTGGGTCTTTGCTGAGTGAAGCGAAACTGGCAGCCCCTGGCCACTGAGTGCCTGTTTCATGCCAGACACCGTATCAGGTCCTTCTCGGGCACTCTCTCACATAATCCCCAGAACAGGTCCATACAGCTGGTGAATACCTTATTTTCCAGATGCTGTGACAGCGTTTCAGAGCCATTCATTAGCCCACGGTTACCTGGTGAGGCAGCTCATGGATAGGGTGCTCAAACCTGGCTGGGCATCAGAAGCCCTGAAGGGAAATTTGGTTTTTTTTGTTTTTGTTTTTGAGTTGGAGTCTTACTCTGTCGCCCAGACTGGAGTGCAGTGGCTGCTCCCGGCCACCGCAGCCTCGACCTGCTAGGCTCCAGCGATCCTTCCGCCTCAGCCTTCCAAGTAGCCGGAATTACAGGTATGTGCTACCACGCCTGGCTGATTTTTGGTTTATTGTAGAGATGAGGTCTCGCCTGCCCAGGCGGGTCTCGAACCCTCGGGCTCAGGCAATCCACTCACCTCAGCCTCCCAAAGGCGTGGGATTACAAGCTGAGAAATTTGTTTTTTAATATAGAGATTCCTCTGTCCCTCCTCTAGAGTGCCTGAATTTAGTGGTCTGGAGTGGGCCCAAGAGTCTGTTCCTTTGTTTTTTATCAGTGCTCCCCAGGTTAACTGTGATGCCTGGCCAGTCAGCAGCCCCTGTTCTAGAGGGCCCCTACAAGTGAGGGAGCTCGAGGTCCAAGAGGAAATGTGTGCAGGGCTCAGCATCAACCCCGTCCAGCCCCCCGCTGGCCACACTTGGTCACACACAGGGAACTTCGGTGGCTCACCCTAACCAGAACCATTTTGGTTTTACTGGTTTGCGTGATAAGCCAAATCAATGCCTTCTCACTGTTTCAAGAGTTTAGAACAAATTAAGTATGGCAAAAATAGAAAGTCCCAATACAGTACAGGGAGATGGCCCCAATAGTGATTAAACGAGGAAGCCATCAGTATGTCCCATAGGTGCTAAAGAGTCGACTTTAATATATGAGTTCAAGAGTTGAGCAAATCGAAACACCTGGTCAATGGGCCTCTTGGAACCTGCCTTTGGGGTTGGTCAGTGGTCAAGGTAGAAACCTGAGACATGGCTGTGTAAGCCTGTGTTTTGGATTATCGATTTTGGAGCACCAGAAAGTACTGAGAAGCAATCAGACGGGAAGTCTCCTTTAAGACAGGATGGGAAGTGTCATTTGACCTGGGACACTTCGGAGTTCTGGTCTATTCTGAGGAAAACAACAAAACTTGGCTTTCTGCAAACAGTGCTTTGGAATTAAAAGATGGACTGAAACTAAAAGTGGGGCGGTAAACAGGCATATATTTGGTTCTTCCTGCTCACAGTTTCATGTAAATTTTACTGTGCTTGAAAACCTTTACAACAGCAGGAGAGGTTAAGATGACTTTGAGGCCGCTCTGGCTCCTGCTGGAGAGGGTGGAGGTTTAGTTAGTCCAACTCCAGCATAAGTAATGGAAGAGCTTTCACCGATCAAGGCTTCATTCATCCTACCTGAAAAATATAGCACGCATTCACCTCCCTCTCCCTACCACCCCCTCCTGGACTTCCTCAAAAGCCCCTAACAGATCCTACTCCTTCCACTCTGCTAAACTGCATTTCAGAAAGGTGGCGTCAACCCCCAGTCACTACCCCACACTTCGCCACTAGAAGGGAGTAAGGCATTAGAATTTTAATTTGACAGGCTAACAATCTGTAGGGGGAAAAGTGACATGTTACCTCCAGATAACTCTGAAGGAAACCTCAAAGGAAACACGTGAAATTAACTCCCTACGTTATTGATTCTGTTGAAGAAAACTACTGTTGGGCGGCTGGTCATATTTGGGAGGATAAATCAGGTTCACATTACTTTCTCGGTGCGGCAGCTTAGCCCAGGGCTTAACAAATGCAGCATTTAAAGATTATTCAGGGGTTGCAGGAAGAATAAGAATGACTTTTTGCATCTCTTAGTTCTACCAAAATCACTGCCAAGATGACAAGGAGAAGTTAAAGATTCTAAATCTCAATTTTTGGAAGAGTAACATCAATGTCTGAACTGGGAACTAAGACAGTCCTCCTTCCATTTTAAGCCCACAGCTGTGTCTTCTGAAGTTCTCTACTGTTTATCCTTCCTGCCTGTTCACATCATACATAAGCAGACCAAGACACAAACACAGAGCCGAGAAGAGACAGAAAAGAAGAATCTGAGTAGACGAAAAAGTTACAGCTTTTCTTTCAAAGAGAAAATTATTTAGGAATCTGTCAGTATCTTCAAACTGCTTTAATTTTAAAAATATGGAGAGAAATAGGTACAGGTATAATTAGGAATTGGACTCTCCAGCCTAATTGTGGATTCTCAAAACATACAACACTTATTCAAAGTGAAGATGCTGCTCTTTTTGAAAGGAGTTTTAAATATATTATTCAGGACCCTAGGGAACAGTTCTACCATCTGGGACAGCAGGACCTTAGACAATATGGCCTATTTACCTGGTGCACATGGGTAAGAAATGGATCCAATAACAATGGCTTCCCCTTTGCTGGGAACGCACAGCAGGTGGTTTGTGCTTGATTTTCTGCTAGATTTATGCCAAAGAAAGCCACTTAAATTAGCGTTCTGGAGTCAGTGCCCTGCCTCTCCTTGGGGCCAGGCAGATTTCAGAAATTCATTTCGGGGAGCCAGGACTGATCTGGGTGAATATTCATTAGCTTCAGCTTATGCGCTGCAAAGGCAGGCATGGCTACCAATTCCTTGCTAGCTATGATACGCAAAAGAGGAGCCTTCTGGAAGCTGCAGACCTTCAGCCGGGTGAACAAGAAGTTATTCTGAGTTCGAGCCAGGGAGGAGCCAAGCCCCCTCGGTACTCCCAGCAGGCACTAGGAGGAGCTGAAGATGGAGGCAACCCCGTGGTAGCTGGTGGCTGATCTGCAGCCTCAGGAGCAGCCGCTTGGCCTGTGGGGGCGGAGTGTTTCAGGGTGGGAATGAGGTCTGTTCTCAGGTGAAAGGAAAACAAAGCCCACCCATGACCGGCTGCTTTAGCACAGACATATCTGCTCTCAGGACAAACACCCCGACGTCAGAAGACCTCTCAATGCACAGGAAGGACTAGTGAAAAGAGTGACAAATCAAATTTATTCACCGAAAAGAAGACTCAGGATGACCTGACACCAGTAGGCACGGTCACTCTAACTGCAGTGCTGACCACCGCCATCACCTCCATCACAGCTAGTGAGGCAGCTGCCACTGACGGGTGACAATGCACTTGGCCTGCACTCTACCTGCGTGATTATTTAAAACCCTCCAGCAACAGCATGAGGACAATAAAATCATTTCCAACTACAGACGAGGACACTGAGGCTTAGAGAGGTCAAGAGACTTGTTCAACACCACAGTTAACGCGGGGTGGATAATTCAAACCCAGCTCTGTGTCCAGAGGCCCTGCTCGAATCCGGAGGAGGCAACAGCCTTGCAGCTAGACTGCAGGAGGAATGCTGACTGGGGCAGGCTGGAGGCTGTCACTCGCACAGCTCTGCTTCGAGGCCTGCTGCTGTGACCATCGGCGCTGCTAAAATACATTTAGCAGCACGCGGACGTTTGGGCAGCTATCAGAAAGTTATCAATTCTTTACTAAAAACAGTACAAGCCACTTAAAATGACTGAAAATGGACACTTCCAAATCAAATTCCTAAGCTGTATAAGGGTTTCAACTCTTCAAGCCTTTATTCCTGCAAGGTCAACAGGTGACAGACATCTCAGTCTGGGGGGATGCTACGAAGCAACAGTGTGATGGCCTCCTCCGTGGCTACCCAAGTTTTCCAAGCCATAAGCTTCTGTGCGGTGACCCTCTTCAGCCTGCCCGTCCTCCCCAGGGGCTAGGGGTGAACCGGAGTCTCGCTCAAGAATGCAGGGATACAGGTCTATTATTCTCCAACTTTTCACTTTCAATCAGGACACGCATTTGTTACTAAAAACTGCTGAAAGCACAATTTCAGGGCATCCTCTGCATATGAACGAAACTGGATTCCCCTTCCCTGGCTCTCACCCTTCCCCCCAGAAGGAACAAGAGGCTATTTTTCTGAAGGTCGTCTGAACAATTTCAAAGGCTATAACAAATCAAAATGTTCCCTGCATCTAATATCAAACGGGGCTGATGCCAACACTTATTAGAGAAATCAGATTCAAGTTTCCCCTAGCCCCCTCGACCCAAACACACACACACATCCAACTTTGAAGTGGGAAGAATGTGGGGATCAGAAATTACCCTGGAGACAGCTCTGGCTGTCTTTGAAGGTTTCCTTTGATACCACCATTTCTTTTCCTCTTTCACGCTCAGAGGCTAAAAGCTGCCTTTT